TCAACCTTACATCTTTTGGTATTCACATTATGAATATGTGTAACATTACGTTCAAGATTCACTAAGAATAAACCATTGACCAGCGGGGCATGACCATAAAACATATCTCTCATATAAATAGAACAACCATTATTCTCGGATTTAAATGAGTAGCCATCTCGCATTAAATGAGATCCAGATACAATGTTCATGCTCAAAGCTGGCACTAAATAACAATTATTGAGGTTTAAAACTAACCCCGTGGGTAAATGTAGAGGTAGCGTGCCGACGGCGATCACATCGACCTTGGAACCATTCCCGACGCGCATCGTCACCTCGTCCTTTGCCAGTCTCCGCTTATTCCGCAGCTCCTGCTTTGAGTTACAAATATGAGCAACGGCACCAGTATCAAATACCCAGGAGCTACTACGAGCACTGGTAAGGTACACATCAATTACATGTGTATCACATATACCTTTAGTGTTGACGTCCTTCTTGTCCGCTAAGTATTTGGGGCAGTTCCACTTCCACTGACCCTTCCCTTTGCAATAAAAGCACTCAGTCTCAGGCTTGGGTCCATTCTTTGACTTCTTCCCGGCAACATCCTTGCCATCCTTCTTGAAGTTCTTTTTACCCTTGCCTTTCTTGAACTTGGTGGTTTTATTGACCATCAACACTTGATGTTCCTTTTTGATCTCTACCTCAACTGACTTCAGCATTGAAAATACTTTAGGAATAGTTTTCACCATCCCCTGCATATTGTAGTTCATCACAAAGCTCTTGTAGCTCGGTGGGAGCGACTGAAGGATTCTGTCAATGACCGCCTCTTCCAGGAGGTTAATGTCCAGCTGGGATAGGCGGTTGTGCAACCCAGACATTTTGAGTATGTGCTCACTGACATAACTATTTTCCTCCATCTTACAACTATAGAACTTGTCGGAGACTTCATATCTCTCGACCCGGGCATGAGCTTGGAAAACCATTTTTAGCTCCTCGAACATCTCATATGCTCCGTGTTGCTCAAAACGCTTTTGGATCCCACGTTCTAAGCTGTAAAGCATGCCGCACTGAACGAGGGAGTAATCATCAGCACGTGACTGCCAAGCGTTCAAAACGTCTTGGTTCTCTGGGATGGGTGCTTCATCTAGCGGTCCTTCTAGGACATATGCTTTCTTGGCAGCTATGAGGATGATCCTCAGGTTCCGGACCCAGTCCGTATAGTTGCTGCCATCATCTTTCAGCTTGGTTTTCTCTAGGAACGCGTTGAAGTTCATGTTGACATGAGCATTGGCCATTTGATCTACATGGTCGACTGGATTGAGCGGTGCGGCGGCCCGGTCAAGCTCGGGGTCTTCCCCGGCCGACGTTCCCCAGAGAAAGTGTTCTCGCCGTCGACGGCGGGATCCATGAGAGGTCCAGAAAGCAGTTTATCTGCGAGGAAGCTTGTCGGGTCAAGGTTCTGTGGTGTTTCGTCTCCTTCTCCGACGGCATCTTCGGCGGCGGCGGCTCGTGGAGACGAGAGTTGGCGTTTTTGTGCAGGGGTCTCCAAGGTCTTGTTTGTAATTTTTCCTTTTATGGGATCCTTTCTGCAAAGTGTCGGGACAGCTGGTGCTTCTGGAGCATTCTGGCTGGGTCTGTCTGTGTGTGGGTGTAACCAAGATGTATCCTGGTTGCTTTATTAAATGACAGACGGTACCTTCTCAAAAAAAAACACCACTGGGTGAAACTTTCTTACTGTGTCGTTACCCCAGTCGATTTGGACTGATACTCGCCACCGCCGCCATGACTTCGTCAGACACCCCCAGCCCTGACGCTCGGGACGTCCGCCACAACTCCCGTGATCACTGCCTTGATTTCGCCGATTTCAGCCCTCCCAGCCCTGAGATGGTCACCGCAACATCGCCATCGCCAACCAATGTCGATTAGCGGCAGCCGTGACCACTAATCCGCCGTTCCTTCTAAGCACTCGATGGGCGCGGCTACGCCGGATTTGGCCACATCCCCCGGCCCCTTGGCCCTTGGAAGACCCCAACGCCATTGTTTGTTGTCTCGGCCATGACAACATTCGACAACCAATATCAAAATTGGCGCTCAACAACCGTCAGCTTCATTCCCTGCCTCCTCATCGTCGGATCTCATGTTTTGATTGCTTTCTAAATTTTAGGGGCACTAGTTTTAGGGCTTTTTTTGGAAAAGCAGAAACTTTGCTGGTTCCAAGGTTTTGGATCCCAAGCGGTCCTTTTTTCTCGAGGGGCACCGAAATTCATGGTTAGCACGGTAACCACGAAATACCGAAAAAAATTTGGACGAAATTTAAAATCAAATTTTGAATTCAAATATTTCAAAGTTGATATAGAAAATGTTTTAACTATTTGAGATCAGTAATTGTCCCCAGCATAGTGGCTGTTCACACGCACCAAACGCTGCCGCTAGCTCTCAGGTCTCGAGTTTGATTCCTGGCCTCAAGACTCGAACCCGCGACTCGCAGCTCTAGAGAGCATGCCTTTGCCACTACGCCATCGCCTGTTCTGTTTCTACATCAGAGATGTTACATATTTAAATGGGTTAGAGTTTGAATTCAAAATTTTCAAAAAAACTTGATTTTTTTTGCTCGGTATGAGTGTTTCTCGTGGGGTAGCGGTAAACGCAGTAACCGCTCGGGATCACGAAATTTCGAGCGGTACCCAAAACAATGGCTGGTTCCAGAAACCTTCTCTCACCTAAGACCATGTTTAGGGCATCAAATGTTTGGTCATCTGTTGGAGATGCTTTAATCCAACAATGCAGAAACTAATATGCTGTAATTGTTGGGTGGTGTCCAAGACGTGGAAAATATGGTTTTCTCACCATGATCATCTTCTTTGTTTGACGTTGATGTCACTACCGATGAACCAACCCTCGTTGCGGAGAAAATCATGGGGGGAATGGTGGTTTGGCCTACGGGAACTGACGTTAGGGAATGAATGAAGACACTGACAGAACCGCGAGGAACCATATTCGGTTACGGTTGAGCTGAACCCAATCACAATCTCCATGTCACGTCTTTCTTTCCCCTCTTGCAAGGCGACTATGACAAAGTCTTCCTCCCCTGGATGTCTGCAGACGAGCCTGTGGAAGCATTTCCCCTTTGTCTTCCACTCCGCCGGGCAGTGGCAGGGAGGGGAACCATGATGCCTCGGCTCCGACTAGTAAATAGGTTAAGGTTTTAGTTCTCGCGGGGGTGGCGCTCGGATGGCCGGCAGCGCTTCTTCCTTGATTCAGTCTTCTAGGCTTCGATCCTCCTCAAATTCATCTGTCAATATGGATTAGATCAAACTCTAGTGTATATTCCCGCCACCCTCTCGGTGTGTCGAGGTTGGGGTTTCCCGTCGTGTGTACGCGACGACAAGATTTGGTGTGAAGTTTTTAGATCAATTCAAGGGTTCAACGATGACAACTGCGGTTCCGTGATGTTGGTCCTTAGGGGCACGTGCACGAAGACTCGTAGACTGTCATCTATAAGGTCAGCCCGGCTCCGTTTTAAGAGCAGAGACAACGGCGCGTCGGCACCTCGTTGGTACCGGCGGTGGTCCAGGGACGTTGATGTAATTTTTACTCGGTGTTTTGGTGCTTTCAATTTCGGGTGAACTTTTTATAATAGATCTGAGTTTTTTTCGCAAAATAAATAAATAAATCTGCAGGCCTCTGCAAATGAGATAGCAAGAGCACATTTAGGAAGAGGTGCATCGTATTTTCTTTGAAGGTGGGCAAAGTATCTTCAGTAGGACATAAAACTGGGAGGAAACTGAACCTCTCGTTCGTCATGCTTCTAACTGAAAACTGCACATGTGGACGCAATATCCAGGTTTCTAAAAAAAAAAATCCTTGAGCAACTGAGCAGTAGCTGTTGCCATGGAATGAGCTTGGCTCCACTCAACAGCATTCCTACAAGATTGTATTGAAAAAAAAAACTGTGCCCACCGTACTTGGTACAGTAGCATTCTTATTCCCAGCCATCTTGGAGTAGTTAGACTAGCCACAGTGGGAGTAACTTCGATAGTAACATCGAGTCCAACTCAGCAAATTTGCTTATGTGACGGTGAGTTAATGAGGAGAGATGTAGTACTAGTAACTTAGCTAGTTACTGTAACATCACATGTCCCAATGCAATATGAGTCTATAATCTAATAAATGAAGCTTTGCATGTTACCACACTTATGTTACTATCCACTATTGAGGTAATAACATAGTCTAGGGATATGCGTATGTTACTAATGTATGTTACTCTCCATTGTGGCTAGTCTTAGTATACTGAAAGAGATTTAAGTAATTGTCATCAAGTGTTCACCACTCCTTTTTTGGAATACTTATGCTCTAAAAACACCATAGCTCTACAACAGGCCACACACTACTGGAAAAGTATGCACGTCCAGCAACAAAAATGGAGTGAATCTAGTCAAAACCGTACTTTCAAGACCTCGGATCTCTTCTACTACCTAAAGGATAGCCTACCCCAGCCACACAGGCCACAGTGACAAGGATCCAGCAAAAGCCTGGTTTTGCAAGCAACAAACATGTCTAGAAAAACTAAATCTCTCTAGCAGCAATGCAGAAAACAAGTTGACAAGCATCAAGCAGTACACACAAGGGTCCCTGCCAAAGCCAACATTATTTCCAGGTCCTTGGCCAAATCCAATGCTTTACTTGCTCTAGGAAAGAGTACAATTACTAGCTAGTGATCTAAAAGATCTTATATTTCTTTAGAGAGGGAGAAGCTAATTTGTACTGTACAAGACAGATGGCACTGAGTTACATCTCAGTAAACTCAAACTTCAATACAATAAGTTACTGGAATTACAGAGGAACCATAGACTAGAAACAGAGCAGACAACGGAAGGTGGTGCAATCTTCAGGCATCAACACCATCTACCAAATTAGCACAAGACACTTCAATCTTCAGGCATTACCCCTGTCTAAGGCTGTCGGCAGGGGCCGGCTTCTGACCGACCAATCATGGATATGCTTATTGACATGGTACCCAGTCAGGATGAAATAGTCTTGAATACAAACCGAGCGTGCCGAGAGGCTCTGTTTTCCACTTGTAGCAGCTTGTGTTCATAGCCCACCATTTCAATGCCGTAGTGATTATATGCTTCAAATTCAATTTTGTCTAGCACCTTTGCATTCAACACAAAGAACCTGGCAAAGTCAACCTGTTTCCCATAGCCCTCGAATGGCTTAAACACCACTTTTTTTAGATGGGTCTCAAGGCATTCGATTGGATGTAGTGGGTCATGCTGAGGCTCATTTTGCTGATCCATATCATGGTGTTTACCAAACTGCAAATGGGAAGAAGAGGCATGAGTAGACTATAATATGTGAATCAAATCAAAAACTTAATCAAACAAGCAAAATTGAGTACTCACAGTGACATGGAGCCTCTCGAGACAGGGGAACCACCTGAGGATGTTAAGAACCGCATGCAACTTATCTGCAGAAGATCTGAGAGCCAAAACCTTGACGGTGCGCATCGAGTTTGCCGAGCCGACCGGGCTTATTCCCTGAAGAAAGCAAACAATGGACATAAAAATTATTATCTGCATGTCGGAGTGCCGAATGCAAGATTGGACGACAACGTTGCCGCTACCTGAAAGAGTAGGATATTGGAGACGGCGGCTATGAAAGGGCCCAATATCTCCAGCATTGGCGCCCTAGCTACCCTGATAGTCACACGATCGCTTCCGTAATAATACGGCAAGAGTAGCCTTACAAGGCGAGGAGCATCCAAGATCACCAGTTGTGCCATTTCACTAGAGCTATGACTGAAGATAATGGTCCTAAGAGTCGGCGAGCTAACACGGAGGCGACCAGCAGCAGAAACTTGGGCCATGTATAAGCTCTCCAAGGCATGGCAGCCGGAGAGCAGCGCGTGCAAGACGTCCTCTGAGATGGAAGTGTGAAACAGGGTGAGCTTCTTGAGATTGGGGAAATTCATGGCCGGCACGATCTCGCCCGGGAAATGACACCCGTTGATCTTGGCAGCCAGGATGGTGGTGGATACGGAGCGGAGCACTGATGCCAGCAGCCGCGGGCTGGCGTAAGCGATGTCGAGCTCCTCGAGGCTGGCGAGGGCCCGGGAGTGAAGCCAGCTCTCCGCCTGGGCGCAGAGGTCGCCGGCGCCGCGGCAGTGGAAGGAGAACCGGCGCGCGGGCCATGGTGCTGGGAGATTATCTGGGAGACGGCGGAGGGTGGGACGCGGGAGGGGGTGGGGACGGGGCCGGCGGCGCCGGGGGGTCGGGTGCTGACCTCGAGGTTGAGAGGCGCGGAGCGCCAGAGGTGGCGCCATTGGCGGGAGAGGACGGGCGTGCGGCCGCCGTCCTTGGTGGGGAGGAGGGAGATGATGATGCCGAGGATGTCGTCGGGGAGCCTGGTGATGAAATCCTCGCAGCCGCCGCCGCCGCTCCGTGCCCGCTTCCGTGCGGTTCCATGGGATTCGCGCGCCTCCCCCGCGGCCTCTTTCTCCATGGTCGGCAACTGGCGAGGGGCAAGGCCGCGTCTCACACTCTCACTGGTTTATGGGGATGGGGCGCTCGGTAACCGTAGGCAGTGGTGCGTCGTGGTAATAACTTCCTCCTATGTTCGTTCGTCTTGTTGTAGTATGGAAGTAAAGGAGATAAAGGAGAGACACAAATGATTCTCTTAGTCTATTGCAATGTGGGAGACTCACTTATATACAGCGTGAAGAGGTGTGTTGGGGTGTGTTGGGGAGACACCTCTTCCCCAACAAACACCTTCAGGAGGCATCCCTCCCATACAATTGATCACATATTTTATTTCTTAACACTTCCCCTTGATCAATTTGTCATCCGTATATTGCAATCCAAAAACTCCTCCCAAAAACCCTGTGGGAAAAATTTAAGGAGAAACATTATAATGATATGCCACCGAAAACTCCTTTAAAAACCCAGTGGGAAAAATATAAGGAGAAACCAATATGATATATATCCGCACTTGTATTTATATTGTCTCGTTAAAAACCTTATATGAGAAACCATCATGGAAAACTCATAAAGGGAAAAAGAGTACAATATGAGTGATATGAGGATCACCAACGGGTTATAACTTGGGATTTTACTCCCCCTGAACTTTGCAAACCTCAAGAATATCTCATACCAATTCCACGAACCTAGTTCTGGAATGTAAACATTGATAGAGATATTGTGAATATCACAATAATCTGTTTGCATATTATCCTCTTACATTTCCGTAATTCACAAGGATAAATATAACCCATAAGCAATACAAGTGACATTATCTTGGTAGATAATGATAATCTCCACATGATTTCACATGTGGCCAATCATTTTATGAAGTCATCCACATTTTCTGATGCTTTAAATAAAATAGAATGATCACTGGAAGGACTCGTTTAGAGTCTATTCTAAATACTTCTTTCAAAATACTCTTCCAGCAAATCCAGTCTTTGATATGGCATTGTGGGATTAGATAATTAGCCACTATCAATATATCAAACCATGGTCCCATCTTGATTTTCCGAATGAAATTGATCAAGACTCTTTGTGCCCTGGATATATCCTAGGATATTCCTTCCACAAACCTTATACCTTTCAGGGAATTGCACTCTCAATAAATTGCCAAAAACTATAGTGTCAGGCCTGACAAATTTTGCAAAATATATGAGTGCTTCAATGGTATTTAGATATGGCAATTCATGCTCCTCTATCATCTTCACCATCTTCCCTATGTCTCAAGGATCTGTATCCCATATTAGGTATAATATGACCATATATATCTTTGATATAATATATCCATATTGAACTTCTCCAATACTTCCGGATATATGGAGACTGGTATCTTAGGGGATATGCTCAAGTCATAAACTTAGCATAATTTGGTTAAACCCGAATATCCTCTTAACATGATTGTGTGTATTTCATATCTTATATAGACTTTGATGATAAGATCATCGACTCCACAATTTAAGGTGATGTAAAATCAAATCCAGGATTTCTTCATGAATACGCGTCAACAATCATTAGTATGAGAGTAATCCTTGTCAAGGAATAACTCACTTAGTCGGTTGCACCACACAATTCTCCGACTACTTCAAGTCATAGAATGACTTCAAAAGTTCCACACATGCATGTTGCGATTTACCTTTGGATTCAGAATATTAAGTCATTCAATGACTTCAATATATACATCCAAACTAATTGACCCATGGGAGTATGTAGACATTACATACATCATCCGTATGGATCTATACTGACATTAACATTCAGTATCGAAACATAATTCCACTCATACCAAAAAAGGTATGCTACATCGTAACCGATGTCGGGTCTCTGCGAAAAACCCTTGTGCTACAAGCCTCGCTTTCTCACCACCTCATTTATTTTTGTTTCCAAACAAAAATTCACTTCTCTTCCCTTTGGAAGATACTTATGAGGAGCGGGTTTTACAATGGTAATCGCCATAAAACGGCATAAACCTCTCAGCTGTGCATGAAACTTAATTCATAGCTATGATGGCGTCTCATAAGTTGTGTATGGATGGAAGGTAATCACCAAAATATGCAAGTGTTCTGCATAATTCCCTTCATAGCATAATATGCAGCATAGTCACAAATGCCTTGAGTTCATCTCCTTATGGAGTATGTGACACTATAGTCACAACCAATGACACATGCTATGAAATTGACAAGTATTTGGAAAGACATCACGAAGGTAGTCACTAATAATGCAAACATCATAGCTCCAAACGAAAAATTATTTCGTTACTACGATGTGCTAAATCCATATAAAGGTCTAGGAAAAGCTTAAACGACCCATAATATGACTTTCTACAAATAGATAATCACCATAACATGGTGTAGATCATATTTGTAGAACACCAGAGGTAATCACCACCAAGTGGGGTAGACCTCACCCTTATGGTACTTTGCACAATCTTGTGTTAATTAAAACACATTGAAAGTGGTCACCACGCGGTGACATAGACCTCTCAGTTGTGAACAAAGTTATACATTGGCTTAACCAATCCATAAGTTGTATGCAGATTTGAAAATTGTCATATCAGTTTGTTGACATAAGGTGTGTAGACATAACATAATGGAAAAAGTCCAAAACAAACCTTAAATTTGTCGGCGAAAGCTAAATCAAACCCTGAACTCTCAATCCCTGAAATTAGCACACCAAACTCTCATATCCCGGTCTATTTTAAACCTTGAGAGGACTTGCCGGTATTTGCTGAATTAGGACGGCCCATTAACGTTGTCGCTCACGCGCGCACGCACTGCTCTGGATTTTCTTTTTTTTCTTTTTTCTTTTTTTTCTTTTCTCTTTTTTTACTCATGTCCATTTTTTCTTCGTATGCAATGTACATTTTTAACGCACATATAAAATATGTTTTGATAAACTTTTGATACTTTCATATACATTATGTATATTTTTAAATTAAATGTTTTCTTTTTTTGAATACATGGTTATATTATTTTCAAATGCATGTTTACATTTTCTTAATGACAATAAACATTTTATAAAACCAAACGAACTCTTCTGAATGGTTCAACATTTTTAAATATGTAGACATTTTTTTCAAACACATGCCAAGTATATTCTGTTAAATGTAAGACACAATTATTTACAACACGCACACTTTTTCTTTTACATTGTACACACATTTTTGTTTGAAAATGTCATGAACACATTTTTTGAAACCCATGAACATTATTGAAATGCTACATTTTTCTGAATCACACAAATATTATTATACATTATATAAACATTTGTTTGAATTGGTCCATTCATTTTCTTAAAACCTGCGATATTTTTTAGATGTCACAAAAAAATTTCTTACAATTTGTTCAGATTTCGAATTTTTTTCCTATTTTTTTTAAATTTTCAAAAAGCATTCACACATTAAAATTATGTTTATGTTTCAAAGTGTTCGCACTTAAATTTTTTGTTCTGCTTTCAGAAAAGGAAAGCTTGCTTCATGTCTGGTTGGCCGGCCCAGACGAGTACGTAGCCAACGATACGAAACATTTTCTAAAAAAATATTTAAAAAATTATAATAACATTATTTATAAAATGTGAAAAACTGTTGAAACTCTGAACATTTTTTGTAGTTGTTTTTAGAATCACAAACAGCTTTTAAAAATGCGAATAGAATTTCAAAATTCCAGAAAAAAATCAAAACACAAAATGAATTAAATTTGTGCGATAAATTGAAAACAGGAATATTTTTTAACTGCTGGAAAATTTACAAATGCGCAAATATATTTTATAGTTCATGATTTCTTGTTGTGTTATAGTGGGCCGGCCCAAATTCTGAGTAGCAGGTTATCCCGGCCGGGATTTTCTTATTCCCAGTGTGCCAAACAGGTCTAGGGTCAAAAATAGACCGGGATTACAAGTTCAGAGTGCCAATTTCCGGGATTCAAAGTTCAGGGTTTGATTTAGCTTTCATCTACAACTTCAAGGTTTGTTTTGGACTTTTTCCTAACATAATCATGCAATGTCATACACTGTACCATCTTTTGTTTCCAAAGTTTTGCAAGCAAATTCCATATTCCATTCAAATAATGGAGTCAACATATTGCTTTGCAACAGTATTACTCACGTAATACAATAAGACCTATGGTCTTATACAGTCATTTTACATGATGTAAAATGATGCATAATTAATTATTATGCAAGTTACCAATGGTCTACCTGCATATTTGCTCTGAAGCCCATAGCTTAACATGCAATTAACAATAATTTATTGTTAAAGTGCTAAAGCCAAGGGGCTAAAACGCAAGATCTGATAAGCATATGCCATAAATCAGAGAAAGCAGGGACTTTTCAAGGATTAACAAATAATCGAATGGCTGATTTGTAAAATCACCAAGGAGATAGGATTTGTTTCCTTCTCTCCAGTGCGGTTACCAATTTCCTAAGGGGATAAACCGCTGCGCAGCCGGTTCCCGTGCATCGTCGTGAAGAGGCGTCGCAACCGGCCGTGCCTCGCCTTGAGCCGCCGCCGCCCCGAGGTACGAGCAGCGCCCCGCTGGATTTGTGGACGCCTCCGCGCCAGGATCCGCTGTCGCCGACGAGTGCGACTCCGGCCGTGGGGACTTGTGCCGACGACGCTTCCCGCTGCCGCAATTAGTGCTGTCACGCATACCAACAATGCCACATCACGCGTTGCGTGGGCCGCGCGGGCCATCTTCGTCGGTTAGTCGTGACCAGGCCCATCAACGGCATGACCTTTTTGTCTTTTGGAATCGATGGATTCCAATGTGGGAGCCTTCTTGTTTTCTCCTTCTGTACATGTTGATGT